GTTCACTCAAACTATTTGGCGTTGAGCATTTTCAGGTTGTGGCCGTTATCTCAGTGTTCTTTTTAATCGTTGCAATCCTCGTGTTTTGCTTCAAAACGCATCCAGGATTGCGCGTGGCTGAACTGGATGTTGATGAGATCAGTATTGTTAACCATACAAATCGACTCGTTCGTCGATCACCTCCGTTCACTTATAAATATCGAACTGAATCAATCGGAGTGCACAAGAGAAACTCAAAACCTCATCCTGGTTTTTTTGTGAGTTTCAGTGCTCTGTTTCAGTCGATATCTTCAAGCAACGTCTGCATTTTGTGAATAACAATTTCGTAGATCGCTTTATGGAGGAAAATGCTGTTTTGTGAAGGGGCGACTTTCGAAAAAATGGAATAGATGAAGAAAAGATTTGAACAAAGAGTTGATAGGAGAATCAAAATGATTTATAAAAGGGAAAAAAACGAGCCAGTTTTCAGGTGGTTGAAACAATATGTAATATATGGTTCACGATTGAGATAGCAATCCGTTTTGTTTGTTGTCCAAGTAAAATCAAATACTTCAAAGCACCGGTAAGCCATTCACATTTTACAATAAATGTTTCATCATCATGATTTTTTGGAGTACAGTTTTAATTAAGAAATTAACTATCTCAAACTAATTAACTATCTCAAAATCAACCGCAAACTCGATATTGCTCAACCATTGTAGTGGACTCATTCATCATCAGCGCACTTCCCACTGAACTTACTATTAAAAGAATCTGAAGTAACCACAATCCTGAAGCAATTAAATATTCATTAAATATTTGAGAACGCTATTATATCTCGCGCAGATAATCGAATCGCTGTCACTAGTCTTTCAAAAACTTCCTTGTCACCAATCATGATAATGTTTAAATTTTGATGTTTAGATTCACGGTGTTTATTGGTTTGCGAGTTTTAATGAGGACACGGCTGAGTGCCTATGCAAGTGTTTTGCGGTCAAGATGCCATTGAATGATGATCAGTAGTCAATTCATCGATGAAGTCAGATATTCTTTGCAGGTGAATGTAATCGATCTGGTTGCCACAATGACATTTTATCTTGATCTTCTGTTGACAACTTTTGGTGCAACCTCGGAATTGGAATTCTTCTCAATAATTCGGATTATGCGATTATTCAAGCTGACACAACACTCAAGTGGTCTTAAAATTTTAATGCATACATTCAAGTAGGTTCTTCACTTGATACATACCGTAACT